TCCGCAGGGGGGTCTATAGGGGGTCTATGAGGCTGCAAGGGAATTTATGGGGCTGCAGGGGGGTCTACAGGGGGTATAGGGTGGTAGGAGCTGCAGCACACGTGCCTGGGGTCTTGCCCACGAAACCGGGGGTTGCTGCGCTGCTGGTGCAGATCTCCTTTAAATCGGATTTTGCAGCCCCTTCCCCAGGGCAGCGCTGCCTGTAGCCTCATCCCACGTGTCCCCAGCAGCTTCTGCTGGCCCAATGCCACTCGCCCTGGGGTCTTGCCCACGAAACCGGGGGTTGCTGCGCTGCTGGTGCAGATCTCCTTTAAAATGGATTTTGCAGCCCCTTCCCCAGGGCAGCGCTGCCTGTAGCCTCATCCCACGTGTCCCCAGCAGCTTCTGCTGGCCCAATGCCACTGGCAACCGGAGTGTGGCTCTAAGCAAGCTGAATGAAGAACCACGGCTCTACGATGAAAGGAGAGCTGCTTTTGTTTATTCTTTTAACAAAAAAGCTTGGAGTCTAGGCACTTTTCCCAGCAGCTCGAATTTCCTGGGGTTCAGGACATTCCCGGGGGAACACTATCATTTCTCATGGGCTGGCATGTTTCGTGTGATGGAGCCACAGGCCAGCAGGCGCCGGTAGCACCGCCGCATCAGCTGCGCATCTCCCGCTCCGTGCTGCTCCCGGGGGCCTTTCCTGCTGCTGCCTCCGACTCCTGTTCCAAAGCAGTGGGGGATGACGAAGCCGGTTCTGCTGGAGCGATGCTGCTCGTCACGCCGCCCCCGGCCCTGCCCCGTCCTTGCTCCTGCTGCAGCTCCCGGGCAGCGGTGCTGATGCTCCCACACAGATATCGCACCTGGATCCCCAGGCACAAGCCTGCAATTCGGAAACCCGCTGGACTCACCCCGGGCCCGTGCAGGACCCAGCCAGAGCCCCCAGTATCCAGCTGGGAAAAGGCCAGGAGCTGTTGTCCATAGCCCAGGGATGGGGCTGATTTCCCAGGAAGAAACAGGGCTGCTCTCCCTCCAGCTGCCATCTCCATCCCACTGCCCTATGGGACCCATGGGCTCCCAGCCCCTGCAGCAGTTGTGCAACTCCTGTTGCAAGCATAAGTGTCAAACCCCTTACCAATAAATCAAAAGAAAAATAACTCATTCTAGCAAGGCGAAAACGCTTCTTTTTATGTTTTTGCAATCAGTCGCTTTTTAATTTCCTCTCGTAGCTGCCTGTTCTTGCTTTGCAGGATGGAGCGACCCACTTCCCCAGCGCTGGCCCTAGAGCTCGCCCACCCTCTCCCTTCGTGTCAGGGAAGTTTCTCTGCGACATCGCAGGTGATTTCGGTGCCCTGCACAGGCCGATCTCTAGCCTCTCCTTTCCACGTCAGGCAGCTAAGGGTGCAGCCCAGAGCCCATCATGCGGCCACGGGTGCATTTACACACTGAGGTGGAGGAAACCCCCAGGGACACAGGACTGAGTCATCCTGCTCCACTTGGCCTCCTCTCTCATCCTCCGAGGCAGGGCACAAATGTCAGGAAGCCCCCAGGAACTTCCCCTTGGGGCCCAGAGGAGATGGAGGTTGACCCCATCCCTGGCACTTCGCTGCAGCAGGGAACAGAAGTGAAATGTTGCCACTGAATCCTGTTCCCCTGCATACAGCAGGGCAGGTGCATGCTCAAGAGCTGCCAAGGAGGCTGCCAACACTCCTGACCCTGGGTTTTCCCATCACAGAAGAGACTAGCACAAAGGAAAGCATCTTTCTATGCTTGTAGCTCTCCCTGCCAGCTCTAGGATCCCCCATCTACAGAGGAACAGCTGTTACATGGAACCCTTGGCTCTTAAACCTCTTGCAGAGATGCAGTTTTACTGAGGGAAGTCAGCAAGTCATATATAAATATATATATACACACACACACATACGGGCACACCCCCTAATATTAGGAGGTTTTAACCCTGATTCTTCTATCAGACTTCACCACCGGATGTCAAAAATCCCGCGGCCCCCCCCGCGGCCCCAGCCCCCGGGGCAGTGCACAGTGTATCCGAGCCAGCACCACAGCTGCTCCTTTTTCACAGTAAAAGTTTCTCAAGCTTCAGCTCCAGCTGCCAAGGTCACTGCACAACCACAGCCCCACGCTGTAAACCAGAGAAACGGGACGAGGAAGCGCCGGGCACGCGGGGCCGACCTGCAGCACCTGCGCTGGGGGGAAAAGCGCCCCATGGCTCCGAGGAGACGCACGGGGCTGCAGTGCCCCCCACTTCAGGGGGCACAGAGCAGACGTGTCAGAAGCAGGTGGTGTTTTACTACTCAAGCAGGAAATACCAGACTGGAAACTATTTAATGCATTATGGAAAAAAAAATTCCAGAGATCGCACAAAGCAACAAGTCAGAGAGGGGCATTTCCTACCTCAGCTTACCGTCAGTTGCTGGCACTTGCCCACTGCATTCAAACAGCTACAGAGAGATTTCAGTGCTGTTAAATCAAAGGAGACAAAATCCAGCCACCCCCTTTTCTCCCAAAGGAATGCTTTATTGATACTTTTCCTCTGTATTCATCTGCAAAGAGAAACAGTTCAATACCTAAGCTCCAGCAGTACCCACGTCACTGACACCGCTCCTCGCACGGATGCTGTTTTAGTCGCAAACAGGAAAGCCCAGGAATGACACTCTACACCCCACCTAGTGCCCGCACACCTGCCCTCGAGGACCTCGTCTGTGCCCAGACCCAGGGAGGGAGGAGGCCAAGGGGAACCGAAGTTAATTAGAAGACCTCAGTGCCCAAACTTGCTTCTCTAGAGAAGGGGCAGCCCCTCCGGGGCGAGGGCCACTAACTACTCGGGTATGTACATGAACAAGCCTGAAGACCTGAGTCAGTCCCATTTTGCCTCTAAGGCACAGAATTGGTCACTCCGGGTACTTCTGATGTGGAGGCACCTCACCTACAATAAGATCAGGCCTCTATAGGAAAACTTAGTTGCACAGGTGCTGAGCAGAGAGGCTGAACATCAGAAGAGCCACTTTGGGAACGGGTTGAGTTCCACCTCACAACTCAAACATTGTAGCTGGGGCTCTCAGAGAGGATATTGACAGTGAGATGTACCAGGTGGAGTGTCCCACACAGCAAAGTCCCTCCAACGCAGCGTCCGTGGGGCTAGAGACAGCTTTGCCTGTCCCTAACCTGGGCCTCTTGCTAGCAGCCTTGGGAAATCCTTCCTCCAAGGATGAAGGCATCAGCTGAGAAGGGAGAAGCAAGTTTTATACACTCAAGCAACAGAGTGCACCACTGAGAATTAACACAAGACCTGGCTTAGAAGCATGCTGCTACTACATACGATGCAGAACTCCAGTGCTCACTATCCAGCTTTATAACTCTCACAGTCCGCTATAGAGAAAAAACTTATAAACAAGTAAAGCGTAAAGTGATGTAAGGCTTGCATTCAGAGTCCAGGGGAACACTGCCCTATAAGATGTCAAAGCTTTTTTTTTTTTTTTTTTAAAAGTTTTTTCTTAAAGTTCATTGCATTTAAAAATAAAGATTTTAGTTTTCTTAAAGCTAGAGCATTAGTGTAACAACGAGGCAGCTGCTAAGTGAAGTTTCCCTTTTGGGAGCCCAGAAAAAAAAAAAGACGTTTACTCCATTTACCAGACTACTCCCACTGAGAGCAGGAAGAAACAGTAATGGGAGAAGCCCGGGAGATCACAGGGTAACTGTGTGGTGTGCTCTGAACAGAGCACAGCCAGAGGCTGACACTAAGATCCTTATGCACTTTAACTGTTCTCCTCCTTTCCCTGCTCACAGGGACATTTTTCTCCTGTTCAGAGTTATAACAGACATGGAAAAGTTTGGGTTTTTTTTCCTATACCAACAGCATTTCTGAGCTACCTTGAGGAAACTCCATTTTAAGTGCTCTCCCAAGAGGACAGCACAGTGATACATTTAATCTACAAACTTTAGTGTAAAATATTTGTGTACAAAACTTTGCATTCTCGTTGACTTGGATCCAGTAACAGTGTCTATGAATGGATTATGGATCTCTCCAGACAGGCTCTCAGCCCCTTCTTGGACTCGCATGTTGCTGCTGTGGTGAAGGTCTGGGAGGAAGGGGGCTTGCTCTTGCAGCCGTGCAAAGCCACAAGCAGGGCTAGAAAGGAGCGTTGTCCTGGGGAGGTTTCTCGCCAGCGCCCGGTGCGGAGTGGAGGCCGTCAGTGCTGTTTTCCCTGCTGCCCACCACTCTGTTCTGAAACGAGAGAAGAACATTAGGAAAACAAGAAACCAGCCCTGAGAAGAACGTTAGGAAAACAAGAAACCAGCCCTGAGAATGCCAAGTCAACCCCCCTTTGTCAAGGTCACCTCCTGTAGCAGACTTCACATATCTGAGAGGCCTTTAACATGAATACTAGTCTGCAAGAAAAACACTGCAGAAATTGAGTTGCTATTTGGAATTTTACACTATGTTTATGAAACAGAGCAGACATTTACCTTTATGGTCCCAACTCTATCTTCAAACGACTTGAAGGTTGCGGAATTCCTTGAAAGGGAGCAGAACAAAAACAAGTTAGTTCTTAACTAAAATATGCCACATGCTGTGACCAGGCTATCTGGCCCTCCCCGTGCAAGGACAGCAGCACCCAGAGCATGTTCAGCTCCTCACTCAGATACCTAGTAGCAAGAATCCCTCACACACCAAGCAAAAACAAGCTCTGAAGAGACATTTATAGCACAGGGCTCTGCATATTCCAATTTAATTGTTCAAGCTGAGAACTCAGTGAGAAAAAGATCCCAATTCACCAGGGAGCCAGTGCATAAGTAGAAAAGAAACTAGTCCTTAGGTTTACAAGGCTTCCAGCTAAAAGCAAACTTTCTTAAATAAGATAGAGAAAAAGCCGAAAAGGATTTAAAAGCTTCAGCTTCTCATATCATATCCTGCTAGCAGGAAGGGGAATGGCTACGTGCATGAACCTGTGAGTGTTTTACTGCCAAAGAAGTGATCGTTTGTACCAGGAAATACTCTTAAACCTCAGCACAACAATATAAGCAGATAATTTCATATTTCAACAAAGGTGGCCAGTCACGTGCCTGTCTGACAAGCTCCTCTGCTTATGGCCCATTCCAGGGCAGTGCTCTGTGCTGAGCTTTCAGACCAGGTGGTTATAAAGCACCAGGGGCTCGGAGATGACTGGCCTGAAGCCAGATCCTTTTGGAAGAACCACTTTATATCTGTGCTCATTAACAACCTCTTTCAGTCTGAGATAAGGATGAGCAGGGAGAGGGGTTCTGTGAGCCCGGTCCAGTTCTGGCCATGGTTTCTTCTCCATGGACATCACCTAGTGCACCACGAAGCACCCTGGGAAGGACTCCTAGCCCCTAGGCTGGAGACAAAAGATCCAACGTTGGATTCGTCTTGGCGTTAGCAATGGCTGTGGTGCACAGCGAGAACTGCACTCCCCCTCGGGCATCTCCAAAAGCCATGAATTGCAGGTGGACTTTGGTACAGTTGCAACACAGGTGCTAATAACCATAAAAACAGCAAGTAACTAATTAAAGCCTTGGATTACTCAAGCTGCAGGACACAGTTACCCCATAATCTAAGTGGCTTCAGCTGAAGTGAGTCCCAAACGAGAAGCCCAGGTCCCCCAGAGGGGACGGGGCAGCCACGCGCCCAGCTAGCCCTCAGGACACAGCCCGAGCCACGTTACCTCATCGCCGGCATACTTATCGAGTGGCGGATGGAGTAGCTGCTGCTCGCAAGCATTCAGAACAAGGAAGAAAAAGACAATTTTTAGCACAGACAGAGTAAAAGCAGCATATTCCCCGCTTCCGAGCACCTGCTGCTGTGGATGGGTGAAGCTGAAGTGCTGTCCCTCTCATCCCTTGTTTGCACAACCTGCAGCCCAGAACTAGGTCTGCAGTTATAGGACTGTTAGCGTGAGTATTAAAGAGCAAAACATGAACAGAGGGCATATTTTAAAGGCTTTCTTAAAGCTTGGTGGATAGATTTGCTTGTGCCAATAGAAGAAAGCAAATCTCCCACAACACAATATTTAGAAAAAGGCTTTTAAGCTATGCTCAAGACACAGGGGACACCTGGCCTATGCTCAAAGGCCTGAGGGGTGATGATGGGGCACCTCTAGGAAAGGAAAAATAGGCACAACTGCCTTTACTGCATCAAGTTACTCACATAATCCAGCTCTCCTGGTAAAGGTTTCCTATCAGTTTTCTTTCGCCAAACTTGGGCTGATAGAACAGTGTAAAAACATGCACCAAGGGCTAACAAAAAACATGTTGAGGCATAAGCTTTCCAACTGACAAGCTGCTGTAAACTGCTCGTGGTCCCATTACACTGGAATTAAGGAGGCTGGAGGATTTACACTTGTTGTGCTGTACTCTCAACCTGCACTGCAAGTTGTAGCCGCAAAATAAAATAATAAAGAAGGAAATAAATACAGGTTTGAGCTAGGTTTCTCATTCCATTTCAGAAGCACTGGCAAGCCTTACACAATGAACCTCCCCTTTAATGTCTGCAGGGCAACACATGCTCTTTTTTCCTCCAAGGGAATCTTACCTAAAAGAATGTGAGAAGGGGTGAGCCCTGAGGAAACCCACGACAGCAAAGGGAGAAAAGAAAAGCAACAGTCAGACACTTGTACAGATGTGAACATGAGATGCAGGACTGCTAAGCAAGGATATGGTCATGAGACAACAGAGTCAGCTACCCAGGAGGAAGCCTCAAGATTTTCATCATCTCAACCAACCCAAGATAAGAGGTTCCCAAAAGGACAAGAACAGAATTTACATTACCTTTTAGAATACGGATGCTGAATTGAGGTGGGGAGGGAAAAGGGGAAAACCCTACTCATCCAGAGCCACTGCTTTCATGCAAAACTTTAGGCAGTTTTTCCTAAACTGAGGTTTTATCATTTACCAAATTAGCCGAATAAGGCATCTTATTTACCTCCCTATCCCCCTTTGAAAATCCAACACAAAAGCCATAAGCTGTCATTTAAAGACAGCCTTGCTAAGTCTGCTGGTTGAGAACCTCCCCACCAAGAACCAAATGATGTCTGCAGGTCACCTGGCCAAGCCTGCAGATCTTAATTCGAAAAGGTAACAACAAAGAAAAGGTCTTGGCATGCAAGAGGTAAGAACATTGAATGGAAGGTGTGATAATTATCCCACAACCCAAGTGCTGATTACCCATTTTTAGGTTTCAAGGCTAAAAGGAAGCTACCAGATTCCCATGCCTGATTTTACAATTTCAGTCTGAAATAACAGACCAAGGTTTTCTACTCAGCTAATAAGAAAATTGTCAAGATGGTCTAAAGAGCCTTCTCTACTGGAAGCGGCACTGTTGTTTTCCACTTCAAGATCATTTTTGTTTCCACAGGAGGAAACAGTCATGGCAAGCTGGATGTGAAGTACTTGGCAAAGAGCCCAAGGGCCCTTCCTTACAGCTAGGGCAAAGCTGTTAAACATTGTGATTTCATTTCCCCAGCTACTACAGTCAGCTCTTTGGCTGGCCAGAGTTTTTCCTGTCATCTTTACATGCTAGAAGTCAACCTTCTCCTTGCTCTCACTTAAAGAGAAGGAACCAAATAGCACATGCCCATGCACCATGCGACTCTGTAGGTAATTCTACAAGCAAGTTTACTCAGATTCTTGACCTGGAATTAAGAATTACCCGTTTCTTCTTTTCATGAAGATTTAAAGTTTACATAAATTCATGAAACAGCAGCCACCTTTGGGACTCAAATTAATATTTTATAATGAGCTTGCTTGTAGTATTATGTACAGTAGCAAACTGAAGACAACATGAAAGGTATCACAACGCCATCAAGCAAGCTGCTTGCAGATCAAAAGAACACACTTGCAACTTGCAGGTTAGTGAACTAGTAAAATGTAGCAATAATGTCTAAAAGACAATTTATTTTAACTGCAAGTGGAGATAACAGAAACGGCTGAACTGGCCAAAACTTGAGAAAAAAAATCAATGTATTAAGATGCATTTCCCCCCTGCCATGGCAATCTAATAGAGCAACAGTTCTCACACACTTAGCACAGTAATCACAAACATCACAATTTCTCCTCGCAATCAGCAGCTATAGCATTTGAGTGCTCTGAGCAGAATAAAGCACTCTGTTGAAGATTTAACCCAAGGATAATTTACTTTCATTTCCTAGCACTTCTGCCAGGGCAGTTTTAATGGAATTATGACCACACCCCGTGAATAAAAATCTGAGGTGTTTGTCCCCTTCAGCATCCCGTCCTTGCATTTATCACCGGTGAAAGCTGACTAAACAAGGAAATCCATTCTGTTATCTCAACACTTCCAGTGTTGGAAAATAAACCTTCTTTACAAGTGCATTTGTAGTGCAAGAGGAAAAAGTACAGCAACAACACAGATCGGTGTAGGCCATGAGGCCCAGAACCAGATTCTCCAAGAACAAATATCATCCCCAGCCATCCAGAGAAGTGACCACAGCAATAAAACAGACTTCACTCCTGTAATCTCTGATCACATATCAAAACACCAGTTACAGTTTCACTTGGCAGGAGTAGCAAACAGTAAAGTTCCTGTGCAAGTTTATGCTCAGAAGTTAAACTTCATTCAGAATCAGAAATATCAAGGCTTGAATACAACAGAGAAGACAGCAAGATTATACCAGAGAAACTGCAAGGCTTCTTAAAAACCATTACTGTGTTTCCCCACAGGGCCACATATACAAAGCAAATCCCATCGGAATAACTTCGGTGGAACCACCCCAGTTATCAATAAAACAGAAGCTGCCTCTATTTACTATTACATGCCTCGAGGTGTTAGTTGTAGAAAAGAATAGGGTGTGAGTGATGAGGCTCCTGGTGCAGAGCTCTGATCCGTGTGTTATCAGCCAGGCCAGCTCTGTCACCGGGAGTGGCAGCTCTGCTCCTCCCTGGGGCACGCATGCCCTCTGTCCCCTCTCCTGGGACAGCAGGGACACTCGTGCAGCTGCACAGCAAACTGCATTCCAGCAGCCCCACGAGCACAGGCGGGACTGGGGCTGCTTCTGGCAGCAGGACCAACCCCCGAGTTCCCTGTTTGGCCCAAAAAGCTCAGTTCTCATGTCCTGGCTATAACAATACAAGCAGGCTGCAGAAGGCAATAACCAAATATTTTCGCCATTATAAGCTTAGGAAAACATATTGTGAGTACATGTTGCTAGTATCTATCCCTCAGTGGCTCAGGTGATTATATATAAATCTCTTCTTTCAGAAGAGAAAGTGATTTTCTGGAAAGAAAGTAAATTTTGAATACAGAACTGGCTATCAGAGAACTGGCTGGCTCCCTAGATTCAGAGAAAGTGAACTATCAGAAACATTCAGCAATATTTGCACTCCCTGACAGAGGACAGATTTAGAGTTTCAGTACTATGTGATCAGAGACCAACAAATTCTTACCACTTCGATAATCCCAGCCACAGTGGAAGGGGAAAGTCCCTACAAGGAATGACAACTGCCTGTTCAATCCAGGATTGGGCACATCACGTTACATACAAGCTCCAAGAATGCCTCCTTAACAATACAGACAGTTTGTACATTAAGAATTAGCTCTCAATTCTGAGAAAAAAAGTGTGGGAAGTATTTTGCATGAAAGTCTTTGACACCACTATTAATGTAGAAACAGTCTTCAGCTTAAACTCACGAATGAGGAAAATTACCAAACTCTACCATTAAGCTTTGTGTGACTGAGAAAAAAAAAAGAAAGAACCTGAGCCAGAGCTGAGGAGTTTTTAGGAGCATTTAATGTGTTCTAAAATCTGATGTACAGAACCACATGGAAGGTGGTGGTCCATGACTAGGAAAGTGCTGCCAACCAGGTAGAAAAGAATGGAAGCAGCCTAGCTGCTGTCTACAGTCTCAAAACCGTTTAAATTGTAAATCAAAGCACTAGAGCATAAAACAGGAATCTTACCTCATGTCGCCAAGTTTCCTGCTGATGACAGAACCTACATTGGAAAGGGCTGCTGAAGTCTTCTGTCCTGCCTGGGACAGGGTTTCCTGGGTCTTCTTATAACTAAGTAGGAGAAAAATGTTAAGTTGAATTCACACATAGTATCCAAAAGTACCCCATCATTTTGAGCAAGGAACCCACGTTAAAGGAGAAAAGCTAGGTTAGTGAGCTGCACTGACTTCGCTAAGAGCCCACTCCAGTCTTGCACATACTCAGAGACCAAGTTTTAAGAAGGCAGCATGTATAGGCTTAACCTTTCCATACACTTATGTTAGAAATTTTGCCATTTTAGCTTTACATGTAAATCTCACAAACGGGAAAAAAATCCCAGTTTTCCACATGGAAATTACACATCACTGCATCATACTCCATTTTTTCTATAACGGCATTTTGATCACCTTGAGAAAGCAAGTCAAAGAACCTATTCCTGAAGTTACAACATTGGCTGTAGTGTTAGGAAATGGAGGAAAGAGGCAAGGCTGACTCTACTGTCTAGAAAAGAAATGCAGAAGTGAGCATTACCTCTACAACTGCAGTTTAGAATTGAATTGGTAGGGAATTTCCCATCAGTTACCATCAACCACAGTAAGTCTGACAGCTTGTACTTGCCAGCTGGCTACATTTGAGGAGTTTATACACAAAGCAGGTAAGACGGACTTGAGAACCCTGGTTTCCTTCAAATAAGACAGTCTTAGGAACTAAGAATCTTTGAGCCTTTTTCATTAATTCATCCTAAGCTATTCTGCAGTTTGTGTTTAATAGCTAGACTCATGGCATTCTTCAAATTATAAAAGATTCAAAGAGGAAAACAAGTCCAGCAACTTAAGCCAAATTCCTACTACAAAGAATTAGGCTTGGGTTTTGTTTGTTTTTGCCTATCCATTACAATTTGCCCATCCTATTAGAATATTTAAGAGAAGGACATCTAAAAATGACCCAACTTTCACTTCTCAACTCCGAAGCCAGAAGCAACATGTCTACAGACGACTTAATTCTTTATGCCTCATCCCCTCCACTCATGAGGGCAGGAGGCAGCATCTGAACTGGATTTGGACAAGACTACTGACAACATATTGCTTGTGTTTTGTTGTTGTTGTTATTTTTTTTAGACCCTGATCAAGTGTTTCCGAATCATGAATTTGTGCGAGACTTGTGCTGAACAGGGCTAAAATGCATGAGCTTTGCTACCACATCTCCTGCTGCTGAAGAAGGTCTCTTCACTCCTATAACCCAGGCACTTCCCAGACCAATTCAGTGACCCCAGCAGAATCCATTAGACTATGCTCAGATAGCAGGAACTCAGCACTGTTTCTTCACACCAAGATGTTTAGTGAGAAGTCATTTGAGATGGTTGAGGAGCAAGGCAGTTAGCACAAATGCCCCTTGCTCGTATACAAACTCTCCTATCACAGCAAGCAAATTTGAATCCCAGGGCTTCTTTGGAACTTCTATCCCTCCCAGGCCGGCTCCTCTCTGGCACAGGTTATCCCAGGCTTCTTTGGAACTTCCACCCCTCCCATTGAGCAGGCCGGCTCCTCTCTGGCACAGGTTGGCAAACTACCATGGGATAGGATTTAAAATTATCCAGCAGGGACAGCTAAGACCTTATGGCCATTAAAATACCTTGTGCTGACTACAGCCAAGAAAAACAGCTTGGCATTCAACTCTCCTTGATCAGCACCACGTCCTAAAGCAGTGATAAGAGGAACAGTTTACAGAATCGAATGACACTGTCACACTGCACACACAGCACGCTTGGGTGTTAGGCCTAGCTTCAGCAGATAAAGGTGGAAGAAACTTCCCAACTGTTATTTCACACTCGACAGCACTATTTGTAAGTCAACTGAAGACAGTGTTGTTCCTTCTGCCCAAGTGTGCTCCCCCGTGATGCCAATACAGCTGTTTGTGCTGACAGTGATGTAGATGGAGGAAATGATCTAGATGAAATATGCTTGGAAAGAAAATAAAAGAAGGAGAAAAATAAAAAAAAAGCAACTGCCAGATCAGATCCCTAATGTGGTTCTGCAGTCACGGCTCCACTCCACACACACGTGCACACCTCACCAGTGCAATGCAGGAGGCAGAGTCAAGGAAATGCAGCTGAGGCAAGAAGCTGTTTCACCTAGAGCTGCCAGCATGGGCATGCACGTGGAGTGCATTTGGGACAGCCAGGTACACCAGACCTCAATGCAACTTAACTAGGGCTACCTCGGACTGCTCCTTCCCTTGCTTGCCCCCTGGTATTTACTGAGTTTTAGATCAAGTGGTAGCTGTTTGTTTCTGAAATGCTGCTCGAATCTTACTTTTGTTGCCCTTGCCTCTTCATTTTAATTGGTAGCTACCTTGTTAGCGTGACTTGCCACCATCTAGTGCTAAAGCAAGCAGGAAAGCTGGTGTCACAGCTACTCAGGCCTTCAGCATGCTACAGAAACGCACTGCTACTGTATTCTTCTTGCACTTATCATTAAAAAACAAGGAAACAGATATGACAGTCGTCTAATCTAGCAGGCACACCCAAGGAGGAGCTATGATTAAGCACTGCCAGAATCATGTACACAGTCAGCAAGGATAAATTCGCTATTTAGCGAGCAACAACACAACATCTTGCTTGATTCAGAAAACTTCCTAGAACTTGGAAGGCAGAACTTGCCTATTTGAAAGTTTTTCTGATATTCCTGCTTCCTATTTGTGCCCACCTTCCAGCAGAGTTATGAAGAGGGCCTTCCACTCTGCACTTCCACTTGCAAGCCAGCTCTGGGGCTGCCTCTTGCACGCTCAGGTTAGAAGACTGCATTTCATATCCACTACAAAGAACTGGTAAATTTGTCTTACCAAAGCCCTACACGCACAATGGTTTAAATGAATTTAGGAAATAAAAACACTACCTAGTTGCTCCCACTTCACTGCTGCCAAGGATTCCCTTATACACCGTGGGAGAGATGCTGTGCGAAGGACGAAGGCCAACTTTCATAACGCCTTTCTAGGTGAGAATTTAATTCCAGGCATTTAGTAGAAACATGACTAAGACTGTATAGATAAAAAAGTAGTAGTATAACAGCTGTAAAGTTTAAGCTGTTCCAAGTCCATTTGGGGTTCCAAAGTGATAGAACAGCTGCCTTGGACACTAAAGTCCTATTGTGCTCAACAGATAATAAAGGAGGGGAAAAGAATTCCCACTGTCCCCAGAGAAACTTGGTTACATGTTGAGGGGGTACAAGAGGCCAGTCTGGTCCACAGCTTGTCAGCTGATGTTATAAAACAGGGCACACAAGTGTCAGCTACTGAGTGGCTCCTTCCAGGTGCCCTGTGAGAGCAGGCAGCCATTTGAAGAGGATGTCACTTGGACCACAGTGAAGTCATTCAAATACTGACCTGAGAAAAGGCTGCTTCTCACAAAGGATACTCTTATCAATTAAAAAAAAATAGTCAAGGCTTGAAAAAAGAGTTTAGATAGGAGACTAGACAAAGCAGAGAACTGTGAGCAAGGGCAGAGATTGTTAGAGGCAGCAGGCTGTCATGAAAGCATTTGTTAACGCTGAAGGTTAAGACACTCACGCTTCGGATTGAGTTAATTTTTCATTCCAGTCCTCCAGTGTGCTGCTGGCTGAAAGATATCTACAAACACAATGGAGGTTAGACACAGTGCCAAGATTCATGACAGATGCTTCTTTTGACACTCTCCACATTATTAGCGCATCTTTATACTTAAGGTATTATAAGTTTCATTTCAACAACCAATTTTCCCCCCCAAGGTCAGAGGGAAAAGAGTTGTTGTTTGAGAGGAAGACACCCAAATCCTGCTTTCTTCCCTATTTAAGCACATTCAAACATTGAGCATAAAGCACCTGCAGTTTAGAAGGGGCCAGGATTTTTCACACAAAAGACTATCACCTGTTCCCTCCCTATACACTGCATGGTAGCTATGTAATAAAAAGCACAGAGCAGTGAGCTAAGCACAACAATAAAAACTGTCACACCCAAATCTGCAACAACGCACCATGACCTGGACACGCAGAGGCAGCCAGAGGGGACGATGCATGTCAGGCAGTTCCTGTCACTCAGGAAGTGTTAATATCCCTCATTAGGCCAGAGCTAGTTATTTTGCCTAGTAAAGAAAAACCTTCCAACCCACATCCGCTTTCAGCTAAATTAGCAGCTCCTTGAACACAGAATGCTGAAGGGAGAGAATCCTCAGTTCAGAAGGGATTCAAGATCTCCTTGACATTTAAACACACAAATTAGATCAAAATGATGTACATCTAGCATGAATTGAGAGCTAATAGAACTAAAGAACGTGTTCGAGCAAAAGCAGCCAGGCATTCGCTGCCCACGTTTAGCACCTGCTTGTGTATACAGCAAAGACTAAATTCACTGCTGTCTGAAAGGATCACTTTTATCAATCCAACAGAGTCCCCATGGGGAAACCATCACAGATTTGCACAGCCCATGTTTTCAGCTACATTGAACACCTTCAAAAACCTTCTCTCCCCTCATGGCCATACAGAAAGCCAGTAACCAAGCTGATTGCTACCACATCTGGTAAGGAAGAGAGAGAGAAGCAGTTTCATAGTAGATAGGGGTCCAGTGATACGACATCTGGTAACAGACTAGCCTAATAAAGAACAGCTAAAGAAGAAATTGCAGCTGTTTGTTTTTTTAAAAAAACATATTAAGTGTGGTCTGGTAACTGATTGGAACTTTTCTTCTGCAGTGGGAAGCCTACCAGAGAGATGAGAGCAGTAGGTTTTGTTCATCTCCTCCGCAACGGAGGGATGTGCACAGCTGAAGTCAGGCATGCCACCAGTAACAGTCCTGACTCCAGCTTCACCATGCCTCCAGCTCCAGATCACCCCTGATGCCTGAAAGAACAAGAAGCAGCACAAACTGGGGAAGGAGCAAGGAGGTGTCGCTGGGGAGCCCAAGGCACTCACAAGTCAGATTGGGTCACTTTCTCATTCCACTCTCCAAGTTTCTCAGATGTTTTCACATAACTAGAAACAGAAAGTATTAATGAATATAACTTCTTTAATATTCATTGTTAGAAGACAATGACAGATTTAAGTTACAAAGGAGTAACAGAAATTGGGCAAGGAGGGGGAAGGGAGATGAGGAAAAGAAAGAACAAACAGCGAGATGGACGGCCCACAGATCTGCCCTGCAGTAGCACCAATGAGCTGCTGAACAGCACAGGACTGTTCAGACTGAACAAATCTGTGGATATGGACAGCCTCACATCTGGGCACAAACATGGCCTTAAACTTACCTCTTTGACTCTCCTGCTGTCTAATTTCCAATTTTCTCAGAGCCAAAACGCTTGTGTACTGCACTCCTAACACAAGTATTGGATATTTTTGCCCCAGGAAGTGCAGGCTTTTGAATTCAAGCTACGCATCCTAGGAAACATCCCCAAACTAATATTATGTAGTAGGACTTGAGCATTTTTTGCTTCTAAGCCTGAGCTCAGAATGGAGTAGTAGCAGCTGCAGAACTACCAGAAAGGAGCAGAGCTGTTCTGTTCAGGGGTGATGTAAATGTAACCTCCTTGTACAGAGCATTCAGCAGCTGTTCATCAAGATTATGGACATGAGAGTTCTGACATTAGGACACTGACACGCAGAGCCCACAAAACAACCACATTTATTTGTTCTCTATTTACCCACCAGAGCAAAAGCCTCCAGACACTTGGAAAAGCCCTGGATCGCAATGCTGGGAAATAACTTCTATTGAGTTACATTTAAATGCACAACTCGAGACACAAACAACACTTACGCATTGGAGACTTGGACATCGTGCCAGCTTTTTGACAGGTTTTGTTTTAACCCATCCAAGGGGGTCAAACCTAGTTTCCTCTTCAGCTCTCCACAGTGCCTCTCTTTAGCAGCCAGAACTTGTCTGAGGGTACCAATTTCTTCTTCGACCTTGGAGAGAGGCACAGGCACATCTTAATATCACAGCAGGATGAAGTTCTGAAAGTTACATGAAACCCTTCCCCTGGAAACTTGAAAGGTTTCATTAACCTCAGCATGAGAGAGCTGGTGCAAACTCTGCACGCACCACACTGTTCAACTGTAAGTGGCACTTGGAAGGGACACTTGAACATCAGGCTGCCACCAGGAAAACACCCCAAAAGCTGCTGTATTGGCCACCTCACACCAAGGAGACCCAGCAGGACTCACCCCAGCACCGCAATTTCTACAGTAACAGCAGATATGATTTTAAATCAGGTACCAAATATTTCTTATTAACTAAGGTTTATATTGTATAATTATCTTCCTCTGAAATTATTAAAACTTCTTTTCTCTGTTGTGGAGGGTTATATGGGTCTCAATAAGCTGAAGTCAAATAAAATGGAAATAAGCCCTCTCTCCCAAGGGACAACATTTTCAGTGCCCTGAAGGTATTCTAAGATACAACCGGTTTCAGTTGCTTCTGTGATTTTCTTCATCTGACATCATTAAGAACCAGAGAAGAACTGAAACCATTCTCTACTACGATTTGGACAGAAATTTAAAATAAATAAATAAATAAAAACTTTAAAAACCTAGGTGCCCTACATTTAGGTCATTACCTTACAAAGGCTAAGCATTTTGGCAGTACATAGGCAAGAAAAGAAATAATTCCCTAAAAATACATAAAAGGAAAACCCAGGAGAGAGAGAAAAAAAAAAACCACACACACCAAGTAGATTATGGTTTCAACTTCCTACTAAAGAGCAGCTTTTCTGCATACCACTCACCTAAAGAGTTTCCTCACTTCAACTAAAGCCTGAATTAAGTTTACAGCATAAAAAGTCACTTATTTCCCTAGATTTCGGGCAGTTCTGGGAAGAGCAAGTGCAGCACCTTGCAGGAAGGTTTGGTCAGCCCGGGGATTCTAACACCGCGGGGAGAGCTCCAAAACCCGCACACACGCAAACGAACCGGGAAGGCCGCCCCCCTGCTCGCGTGCAACCCCGCGCGGGAGGCGCCCCGGCGGCCCCGGGCCGCGTTACCTTGGCCAGCTCGGCGCGCAGCTCCTCCTCCTCGGCCGCCGT